TCACGGCCATTTGGAGGGCAGCAGCAATCGCAAGATTGCAAAGCACAAATTTGAAAGCCGCACAAAGAGTACACGATGTCACTTTTGAAACCTCGACTGATGTCAGGTTCTAAAAGCCACCGGCCCAATGCTGACACGTGATGTCGCTCTCCGTGCACCGTGGGTATGGAACAGACACTGCATGAAGCGAGCCGTGCCACGCACGCGCCGACATTGAGAACAAGGGCCACGGCAAGTGAGAAACATTCTGAACCCCTCGCGTTAGCGAAACATTCCAAATGCCGTAGGTCTGAAGAACTCTCCAACAATCAAGTTGGCAAAACATTTTCCAGACCCTCACATTTGAAACATTCCTACACCCTCGTGACATTTGAAAGGGTTTGAAATGTCTCCCGTTTTAAAAACTCCAATATTCTCAAATAATAGCCGTTTTACTCTCCCAATCTCTCAATTTTAAACATTTCCAGTTATTCAAGTTGAAAAAAAACCAATCCAAACCTGATAATTGTTTTTTTACCCTTCCATCTGGCAACAAAACTGAAGGGTAAAAACCAATTATCATATTTTGTACTGGCAAATGAGGTTCCAATGGTGCAATCCAAACCTCTCTAGCTTCAAAAACTCCCAAACTGTCACGTTAGAAAGTTTAGAATGTTTTCCCCAAATTCAGAAATTTTATAATTGTCCAAAGTCTCATTTTTGAAAAACTCCCCCAAATGCTTGAGTGCCACCCCACCCCCCTTACCCAACCCCAATCCCCTTACCCCACCCCCCCTTACCGCACCCCCTCCCCCAATCCCATTACCCCACCCCCCTCACCCCCCTTATCCACCAGCGCGGTGTTCTTCATCGCAAGGCCCCGGCGGTGCCACTGGCAGCACCTGGTGACGCGCGGTACCCCCCTCCCACGTGACAACTCAACCCCTCTGTCGTCATCGTCGTTGTGCTGCTGTCAAACCCCGCAATGCTGTCAAATGTTGTGGTGGCACCTCACGCGCAGAACAACTTCACCAATGAAGAACAACTTGATCAGTGAGAGGAACAACTACACCAGTGAAGAACAACTGCACCAGTGAGAGGAACAACTACACCAGTGAAGAACAACTGCACCAGTGAGAGGAACGACTTCACCAGTGAAGAACAACTACACCAGTGAAGAACAACTGCTCCAGTGAGTGGAACAACTACACCAGTGAAGAACAACTACACCAGTGAAGAACAACTACACCAGTGAAGAACAACTTCACCAGTGAAGAACAACTTCACCAGTGAAGAACAACAGCACCAGTGAAGAACAACTTCACCAGTGAAGAACAACTTCACCAGTGAAGAACAACTTCACCAGTGAAGAACAACAGCACCAGTGAAGAACAACTTCACCAGTGAAGAACAACTACACCAGTGAAGAACAACTTCACCAGTGAAGAACAACTACACCAGTGAAGAACAACTACACCAGTGAAGAACAACTACACCAGTGAAGAACAACTTCACCAGTGAAGAACAACTTCACCAGTGAAGAACAACTTCACCAGTGAAGAACAACTACACCAGTGAAGAACAACAGCACCAGTGAAGAACAACTTCACCAGTGAAGAACAACTTCACCAGTGAAGGACAACTTCACCAGTGAAGAACAACTACACCAGTGAAAAACAACTTCACCAGTGAAGAACAACTTCACCAGTGAAGAACAACTACACCAGTGAAGAACAACTTCACCAGTGAAGAACAACTACACCAGTGAAGAACAACTTCACCAGTGAAGAACAACTGCACCAGTGAAGAACAACTGCACCAGTGAAGTGGAACAACTTCACCAGTGAGGAACAACTTCACCAGTGAGGAACAACTTCACCGGTGAAGTGGAACAACTTCACCAGTGAAGAACAACTTCACCAGTGAAGAACAACTTCACCAGTGAAGAACAACTGCACCAGTGAAGAACAACTGCACCAGTGAAGTGGAACAACTTCACCAGTGAGGAACAACTTCACCAGTGAAGAACAACTTCACCAGTGAAGAACAACTACACCAGTGAAGTGGAACAACTTCACCAGTGAGGAACAACTCACCAGTGAAGAACAACTTCACCAGTGAAGAACAACTTCACCAGTGAAGAACAACTACACCAGTGAAGAAAACTTCACCAGTGAAGAACAACTGCACCAGTGAAGAACAACTGCACCAGTGAAGTGGAACAACTTCACCAGTGAGGAACAACTTCACCAGTGAAGAACAACTTCACCAGTGAAGTGGAACAACTTCACCAGTGAAGAACAACTTCACCAGTGAAGAACAACTTCACCAGTGAAGAACAACTACACCAGTGGAACAACTTCACCAGTGAAGAACAACTTCACCAGTGAAGAACAACTTCACCAGTGAAGAACAACTGCACCAGTGAAGAACAACTGCACCAGTGAAGAACAACTGCACCAGTGAAGTGGAACAACTTCACCAGTGAAGAACAACTGCACCAGTGAAGAACAACTTCACCAGTGAAGAACAACTTCACCAGTGAAGAACAACTTCACCAGTGAAGAACAACTGCACCAGTGAAGAACAACTTCACCAGTGAAGAACAACTTCACAGTGAAGAACAACTTCACCAGTGAAGAACACTGCAACCCCCAGTGAGGAAACAACTTCACCAGTGAAGAACAACTTCACCAGTGAAGAACAACTGCACCAGTGAAGAACAACTTCACCAGTGAAGAACAACTTCACCAGTGAAGACAGCTGCACCAGTGAAGAACAACTCACCAGTGAAGAACAACTTCACCAGTGAAGAACAACTTCACCAGTGAAGAACAACTGCACCAGTGAAGAACAACTTCACCAGTGAAGAACAACTTCACCAGTGAAGAACAACTGCACCAGTGAAGAACAACTTCACCAGTGAAGAACAACTGCACCAGTGAAGAACAACTTCACCAGTGAAGAACAACTACACCAGTGAAGAACAACTTCACCAGTGAAGAACAACTGCACCAGTGAAGAAACAACTGCACCAGTGAAGAACAACTTCACCAGTGAAGAACAACTTCACCAGTGAAGAACAACTACACCAGTGAAGAACAACTGCACCAGTGAAGAACAACTTCACCAGTGAAGAACAACTTCACCAGTGAAGAACAACTGCACCAGTGAGGAACAACTTCACCAGTGAAGAACAACTTCACCAGTGAAGAACAACTGCACCAGTGAGGAACAACTTCACCAGTGAAGAACAACTACACCAGTGAAGAACAACTTCACCAGTGAAGAACAACTTCACCAGTGAAGAACAACTTCACCAGTGAAGAACAACTTCACCAGTGAAGAACAACTGCACCAGTGAGGAACAACTTCACCAGTGAGGAACAACTTCACCAGTGAAGAACAACTTCACCAGTGAAGAACAACTGCACCAGTGAGGAACAACTTCACTAGTGAAGAACAACTTCACCAGTGAAGAACAACTACACCAGTGAAGAACAACTACACCAGTGAAGAACAACTGCACCAGTGAGGAACAACTTCACCAGTGAAGAACAACTGCACCAGTGAAGAACAACTGCACCAGTGAAGAACAACTGCACCAGTGAAGAACAACTGCACCAGTGAAGTGGAACAACTTCACCAGTGAAGAACAACTGCACCAGTGAAGAACAACTTCACCAGTGAAGAACAACTGCACCAGTGAAGAACAACTTCACCAGTGAAGAACAACTTCACCAGTGAAGAACAGCTGCACCAGTGAAGAACAACTTCACCAGTGAAGAACAACTTCACCAGTGAAGAACAACTTCACCAGTGAAGAACAACTGCACCAGTGAAGAACAACTGCACCAGTGAAGAACAACTTCACCAGTGAAGAACAACTTCACCAGTGAAGAACAACTGCACCAGTGAAGAACAACTTCACCAGTGAAGAACAACTGCACCAGTGAAGAACAACTTCACCAGTGAAGAACAACTACACCAGTGAAGAACAACTTCACCAGTGAAGAACAACTGCACCAGTGAAGAACAACTGCACCAGTGAAGAACAACTGCGCCAGTGAAGAACAACTGCACCAGTGAAGAACAACTTCACCAGTGAAGAACAACTGCACCAGTGAAGAACAACTTCACCAGTGAAGAACAACTACACCAGTGAAGAACAACTGCACCAGTGAGGAACAACTTCACCAGTGAAGAACAACTGCACCAGTGAGGAACAACTTCACCAGTGAGGAACAACTTCACCAGTGAAGAACAACTTCACCAGTGAAGAACAACTGCACCAGTGAGGAACAACTTCACTAGTGAAGAACAACTTCACCAGTGAAGAACAACTACACCAGTGAAGAACAACTACACCAGTGAGGAACAACTTCACCAGTGAAGAACAACTGCACCAGTGAGGAACAACTTCACCAGTGAAGAACAACTTCACCAGTGAAGAACAACTTCACCAGTGAAGAACAACTTCACCAGTGAAGAACAACTTCACCAGTGAAGAACAACTGCACCAGTGAAGAACAACTGCACCAGTGAAGAACAACTACACCAGTGAAGAACAACTTCACCAGTGAAGAACAACTGCACCAGTGAAGAACAACTTCACCAGTGAAGAACAATTGCACCAGTGAGTGGAACAACTTCACCAGTGAGGAACAACTTCACCAGTGAAGAACAACTTCATCAGTGAAGAACAACTACACCAGTGAAGAACAACTACACCAGTGAAGAACAACTACACCAGTGAAGAACAACTACACCAGTGAAGAACAACTTCACCAGTGAAGAACAACTGCACCAGTGAAGAACAACTACACCAGTGAGAGGAACAACTTCACCAGTGAAGAACAACTGCACCAGTGAGGAACAACTTCACCAGTGAGGAACAACTTCACCAGTGAGGAACAACCGCACGGGTGCAAGGGGCTTTCTGGTTCAGTTTAACGCGTGGGGTTTTGCGAACAATATTATCCATAATTGAGGTGGTGGGTTTTTTGTTTTTTTTTGGGGGGGGAGGGGGGGGGCGAGGGTGTGTGGGGGGTTTTAGATCGCGAACCTTCCGCTTGGCTCACAGCCTGGGCAGAAAGTGCGTGGCGGTCATGCGCGCGGTGACTCGCCCGCCGTTCCTCGCGCGGCCACGCTTGCCGAGCGCCACGAACGTGCCCGCGTGCGCGCTCGACTCGTACGCGTTGTAGTTGTTTGGCAGCAGCGTCTCGCCGAACTTGCACTCGTCGGCAAAGTACGGCTGAGAGAGAGAGGAGAAGGGGGGGGGGGTGGTTGCGTGTGGGGGAGAGAGAAGAAGGGGGGGGGGGGCGATGTTAGGTGCTGGCGGTGGTGGTGGTGACGGTGGCGGTGGTGACGATGGTGGTGGCGGTGGTGGTGACGGTGGCGGTGGTGGTGGCGGTGGTGGTGGTGACGGTGGTGGTGGTGGCGGTGGTGACGGTGGTGGTGGTGACGATGGTGGTGGCGGTGGTGGCGGTGGTGGTGACGGTGGTGACGGTGGTGGTGACGGTGGTGACGGTGGTGGTGGTGACGATGGTGGTGGCGGTGGTGGTGGTGGTGACGGTGGTGACGGTGGTGACGGTGGTGGTGGTGACGATGGTGGTGGCGGTGGTGGTGACGGTGGTGGTGACGGTGGTGACGGTGGTGGTGGTGACAATGGTGGTGGTGACAATGGTGGTGGTGGTGGTGGCGGCGGTGGTGGCGGTGGTGGTGGCGACGGCGGTGGTGGTTGTGGTGGTGGTGGCCGTCCTTGTGGCAGCACAGCAAGTAGGTAGGTAGGGTCATGGGTGGAGTTTGGGTGGGGGGGGGGGGCGGCACGGGGGGGGGGCAATGCCTCCCCCTCCCTAAACTGGGCACATTTATTAATTTATTTTCAATAGTTTACAATTAATATAAAAAAATTGTACATACAAATATTACATTTTGACTTAAAGCTTTCGTGATTGCAGGAATTCATATTCTTTGGGTATTTCGGTAAAGTCACGTGGATAAAATAAACAAAAAAACTACGACGTTTCGATCGCAATACAAGCACAGGTGGCAAGCGTAAGGGGTCCACGTACCCCCGGCTGAGAACCACTGGTTCAGATGGAGTGCTCTTGCCAATAACATCTCGTTAGCCGAACAGAATTGTTTTAAACAAGCTTGACTCGCTGCTGAGACTCAGAAAGTTGAGACCGTTCCATGGTTTGCTGGCTCAAAGTAATACTGCTGGATAATATTGCTTCTGGACAGGCAAGAGGCCAGTTGACTTCACATATTTGTAGTTATATGTCGAGACACCTAACAATGCTGATTGTGAAATGTAACGCAGGTGACAAGCGTAAAGTGGTTCACCGAGCAGATGTCACTGATACGGTGTTGTGTTCTATTTCCCGTAGAAATTTGTCTCAAATCATCGGCTCAAAGAGGCTCAATCTTGATTTGAAGCTTTCGTGACTGCAGGAATCCATACTCTTTGGTTCTTTCGGTAAAGTCACGTAGGTATAAAATAAACCTTTTAAAACAGTCTACCTCAGCAGCAGACCAAGCTTTCCCACCTGATGACGGACGTTTGTGTTGCGCCCGAAACGTCGTGATTTATTTTATTTTATTCCTACGTGACTTTATCGAAGAGGCTCCCTGTTCATCTCCATCCGTGGCCCAGAGCCAGTGACAGGCATTCTGTTCTCCAATCACGGGGGGCAATAGATCCGCAAGACAACTGTTGCCATTTCTACATCGACAAAATGTTGATTATCGTATCCACTGGAGGGTGATTCTATTCTTGCTTATAGCAAAACGTGTTCAGCAGCTACATGCCGATGTCAAGGTCTGCTGGACACGAGAGGGCACCAGGGGAGAGTTCGTGTCGGAGTGCAAACCACACACGGTCCGTAGTTTGCGTTCCTTCAAGGCCACCGTGGCACGACTGTGGTTTGCCTCTGATTTAGAGTGATGAGTTGATACAAAATATCAACCAGAATTAGAAAACTCAACCTTCCGGTCGTGAGGCTGACCTGTTACGTTGCCTGCGTGGGTTGTTTTGACGTTACCCCCTCGTATGTGTGGGCGGTTCTCCAGGCACTCGGCTTCTATCCCACGTGTTGCAATGCTCGGCGATGGATGTTGTGCTCAGTGAGAATGAGCATCCTCGGTGGCATGATGTGAATGGCTTCGCTGCAGTGCAAGGCTTAAATGCTGCGTAATACATTACGACACATTAATGGATTAGAATAGCGCTTGTGGTTGTCCTATGATGCACTGGTTCTGACCAAAGGAATGTGGAATGTCCACCTCTGGTTTAGCTGCCAGGGAAGATGAGCCTCTTCTCCGTGGTCTCTGTGTGTTGTTTGACTTGCATCCCACTGGGATTTTTGCACACAGCGTTGGTGTACGGTGTTTTTTTCTGCAATATTTTGCTGTCTTTTCTTGGATTTTCTATTTGCACTTAGTCACATATTCACTTTAAGATGTTTTTTGTTCATGTTTTTGTTTTTTGTTTGTTGCGGTTGCACCCGATTCAAGAGCCGAATGGCTCACAGGGCTATACCTAATAAATGAACTTGAACTAAACCTCGACCAACATCCGTAAATTTCCACCAAACTCAAAAATGGAACTGCCTTCTTTCTCACACTGATTCTAGATTTGATACAGTAAATCGAGCTGTGACGTCCACCTGATGACGGAGACTTGTGTTGCCTCCGAAACGTCGTGATTTATAATTTTATTTCTATTATAATTTCTATTATTTTTATTATTTATAAATAGCAAACGTGACGAATAGAAACGTCACTATTCACCCCACCCACCGCAGACATTCTACGGAATTGTAATTTTTGAGGGTCACGACATTCAAGTTCAAGTTCATTTATTAGGTATAGCCCTGTGAGACATTCGGCTCTTGAATCGGGTGCAACCGCAACAAACAAAAAACAAAAACATGAACAAAAAAACATCTTAAAGTGAATATGTGACTGAGCGCAAACAGAAAATCCAAGAAAAGACAGCAAAATATTGCAGATTCAATATGTCATTATATGGGTCTCTATGTGAATATATTTGACTCTATATCAGTCTACGCTTCTCTATGCGAGTCAACGGTGACCGGGCTGAGCTCATAAACTCGCCAAACTTGAGACGCCGGTTTAATGTACGTATGTTGAACTTCTTTCGCACCGTACGTAGCCAACCGTGATAATCAGAGGTGCGGGGAAAGACAACAATGGGCAGCTGCCTGGCTTTAAAACCTGGGGGGGGAGGCGGTCTCAGTGGTGGAGCCAAATCAGCGCTCTGAACTTTGAACCAACCGGGCAGCTCTGACAATCGATTTTAATCGATTCGATCGCCGCGTCGTCCGATGCCGACTGATGAAGGGGGCGATGGAGCCACGCACACACTCACCGTCGCGTAGAGCCACACACACACTCACCGTCACGTAGAGCCACACACACACTCACCGTCACGTAGAGTCACACACACACTCACCGTCACGTAGAGCCACGCACACACTCACCGTCACGTAGAGCCACGCACACACTCACCGTCACGTAGAGCCACGCACACACTCACCGTCACGTAGAGCCACACACACACTCACCGTCGCGTAGAGCCACACACACACTCACCGTCGCGTAGAGCCACACACACACTCACCGTCACGTAGAGCCACACACACACTCACCGTCACGTAGAGCCACACACACACACACCGTCACGTAGAGCCACACACACACTCACCGTCACGTAGAGCCACACACACACTCACCGTCACGTAGAGCCACACACACACTCACTATCGCGCAGAGCCACACACACACTCACCGTCACGTAGAGCCACGCTCACACTCACTCTCGCGCAGAGCCACACACACACTCACTGTCACGTAGAGCCACACACACACTCACCGTCACGTAGAGCCACACACACACTCACCGTCACGTAGAGCCACACACACACTCACCGTCACGTAGAGCCACACACACACTCACTATCGCGCAGAGCCACACACACACTCACCGTCACGTAGAGCCACACACACACTCACCGTCACGTAGAGCCACACACACACTCACCGTCACGTAGAGCCACACACACACTCACCGTTGCGTAGAGCCACACACACACTCACCGTTGCGTAGAGCCACACTCACACTCACCGTCGCGTAGAGCCACACACACACTCACCGTCACGTAGAGCCACGCACACACTCACCGTCACGTAGAGCCACACACACACTCACCGTCACGTAGAGCCACACACACACTCACCGTCACGTAGAGCCACACACACACTCACCGTCACGTAGAGCCACACACACACTCACCGTCACGTAGAGCCACACACACACTCACCGTCACGTAGAGCCACACACACACTCACTATCGCGCAGAGCCACACACACACTCACCGTCACGTAGAGCCACGCTCACACTCACTCTCGCGCAGAGCCACACACACACTCACTGTCACGTAGAGCCACACACACACTCACCGTCACGTAGAGCCACACACACACTCACCGTCACGTAGAGCCACACACACACTCACCGTCACGTAGAGCCACACACACACTCACTATCGCGCAGAGCCACACACACACTCACCGTCACGTAGAGCCACACACACACTCACCGTCACGTAGAGCCACACACACACTCACCGTCACGTAGAGCCACACACACACTCACCGTCGCGTAGAGCCACACACACACTCACCGTTGCGTAGAGCCACACACACTCACCGTGCGTAGAGCCACACACACTCACCGTCGCGTAGAGCCACACACACACTCACCGTCACGTAGAGCCACGAACACACTCACCGTCACGTAGAGCCACACACACACTCACCGTCACGTAGAGCCACACACACACTCACCGTCACGTAGAGCCACACACACACTCACCGTCACGTAGAGCCACACACACACTCACCGTCACGTAGAGCCACACACACACTCACCGTCACGTAGAGCCACACACACACTCACCGTCACGTAGAGCCACACACACACTCACCGTCACGTAGAGCCACACACACACTCACCGTCACGTAGAGCCACACACACACACTCACCGTCACGTAGAGCCACACACACACTCACCGTCACGCAGAGCCACACACACACTCACCGTCACGTAGAGCCACACACACACTCACCGTCACATAGAGGCACACACACACTCACCGTCACGTAGAGCCACACACACACTCACCGTCACGTAGAGCCACACACACACTCACCGTCACGTAGAGCCACACACACACTCACCGTCACGTAGAGCCACACACACACTCACCGTCACGTAGAGCCACACACACACTCACCGTCACGCAGAGCCACACACACACTCACCGTCACGTAGAGCCACACACACACTCACCGTCACGTAGAGCCACACACACACTCACCGTCACGTAGAGCCACACACACACTCACCGTTGCGTAGAGCCACACACACACTCACCGTTGCGTAGAGCCACACTCACACTCACCGTCGCGTAGAGCCACACACACACTCACCGTCACGTAGAGCCACGCACACACTCACCGTCACGTAGAGCCACACACACACTCACCGTCACGTAGAGCCACACACACACTCACCGTCACGTAGAGCCACACACACACTCACCGTCAGTAGAGCCACACACACACTCACCGTCACGTAGAGCCACACACACACTCACCGTCACGTAGAGCCACACACACACTCACCGTCACGTAGAGCCACACACACACTCACCGTCACGTAGAGCCCACACACACTCACCGTCACGTAGAGCCACACACACACTCACCGTCACGTAGAGCCACACACACACTCCCGTCACGTAGAGCCACACACACACACTCACCGTCACGTAGAGCCACACACACACTCACCGTCACGCAGAGCCACACACACACTCACCGTCACGTAGAGCCACACACACACTCACCGTCACATAGAGGCACACACACACTCACCGTCACGTAGAGCCACACACACACTCACCGTCACGTAGAGCCACACACACACTCACCGTCACGTAGAGCCACACACACACTCACCGTCACGTAGAGCCACACACACACTCACCGTCACGTAGAGCCACACACACACTCACCGTCACGTAGAGCCACACACACACTCACCGTCACGTAGAGCCACACACACACTCACCGTCACGTAGAGCCACACACACACTCACCGTCACGTAGAGCCACACACACACTCACCGTCACGTAGAGCCACACCACACTCCACGTCACGTAGAGCCACGCACACACTCACCGTCACATAGAGCCACGCACACACTCACCGTCACATAGAGCCACACACACACTCACCGTCACGTAGAGCCACGCACACACTCACCGTCACATAGAGCCACGCACACACTCACCGTCACATAGAGCCACACACACACTCACCGCCACATAGAGCCACGCACACACTCACCGTCACATAGAGCCACGCACACACTCACCGTCACATAGAGCCACACACACACTCACCGTCACATAGAGCCACACACACACTCACCGTCACGTAGAGCCACGCACACACTCACCGTCACATAGAGCCACGCACACACTCACCGTCACATAGAGCCACACACATACTCACCGTCACGTAGAGCCACACACACACTCACCGTCACGTAGAGCCACACACACACTCACCGTCACGCAGAGCCACACACACACTCACCGTCGCGTAGAGCCACACACACACTCACCGTCACGTAGAGCCACACACACACTCACCGTCACGTAGAGCCACACACACACTCACCGTCACGTAGAGCCACACACACACTCACCTTCACGTAGAGCCACACACACACTCACCGTCACGTAGAGCCACACACTCACTCACCGTCACGCAGAGCCACACACACACTCACCTTCACGTAGAGCCACACACACACTCACCCTCGTGTAGAGCTATGCTCACACTCACCGTTGCGTACAGATTCCCTCTGCTGCTCATGGCGAGGAAGAGGCCGCTTTTGATGCCGAAAATGCTGACGACCCCTCGCTGCACGGTGGAGATCTCCAGGAGACCTAACGGAGCAGATCGAACGCTATCATCGTCACGTTTGGTAGCCGCGCTATTCTCATAGCGCAAGGCGATTGCGAATGCGGGCGCTATGCTTTTACAGACGGGTATCATCCGCAGTAGTCTTGCGGTAGGGGCCGATGTTGCTGTATGTGTGACTTCAAATTAAATAATTATTGAGCAGTTTGGCAAACGTTGTCCGTCACACTCTTAGGTTTTTTCGGTGAAGTCACGTAGGTAAAAATAAATAATAAAAATAAAATAATAGAAATAATAATAGAAATACAATTATAAATCACGACGTTTCGGAGGCAACACAAGTCTCCGTCATCAGGTGGGACCGTCACAGCTAGATTTACTGTGTCAAGTGAGGCAAAATTCCAAGAGACAAGCTCTTAAATACAAGTTAAGGGGGGAGGAGGGGGGAGGGGCTTATCTGAATGTGGTAGCCAATGAATGGAACGTGTTGAGGGGGGTGGGCGGGGCTCAAAGAGAACAATAGGTGCACATGTTGTTTTACCTGGTGTTGGTTGACAATCCAAATACAAAAAGGAGAGTACTGTTAAACGCTGGGGATGTCCGTCACCCCGGCCACACGTTGCCCACTCACGTTTGAATAACGTCACAGGGTCATTGAACGACCACGCTGAAGCACACTGCGTGTATTTGCGGTCAATACGCCTGCGATGTTAACCAGCGCTGCCAATTGTCTTGAACCGTGAACATTGACAACAAGTGGCTCTGCCGTGTCACCCTCCCAAACACAAACGCAGAGAAGGAGCGCCCCTTAGCGTCGACAGAGCCGTGTCATCGGTGTCATGCACCTGTTAGGAGTAGTCACATCTGAACTCATCTGAACTCAACATATGATCAGGATGTAACTGAGTTCTATGTGGATGGGAGACTGGGATTGCACGATACCAGAGTACGGTAAAGTCGTCGCTTAACGCGTGTTCACACAAACGCTTCCGCTATAACGCGGTTCTGCCATTAGAGAACACTTGTCGAATAATGCGGAGCACGCGCCGTGATCACGTGGGGCACGAGCCGTGATCACGTGGGACACGCGCCGTGATCACGTGGGACACGCGCCGTGATCACGTGGGGCAGGCGCCGTCATCACGTGGGACACGAGCCGTGATCACGTGGGACACGCGCCGTGATGACGTGGGACACGCGCCGTGATGACGTGGGACACGCGCCGTGATCACGTGGGACACTCGCCGTGATCACGTGGGACACGCGCCGTGATCACGTGCGACACTCGCCGTGATCACGTGGGACACTCGCCGTGATCACGTGGGACACTCGCCGTGATCACGTGGGACACGCGCGGTGATCACGTGGGACACTCGCCGTGATCACGTGGGACACGCGCCGTGATCACGTGGGACACTCGCCGTGATCACGTGGGACACGCGCCGTGATCACGTGGGACAGGCGCCGTGATCACGTGGGACAGGCGCCGTGATCACGTGGGACACTCGCCGTGATCACGTGGGACACGCGCCGTGATCACGTGGGACACTCGCCGTGATCACGTGGGACACTCGCCGTGATCACGTGGGACACGCGCCGTGATCACGTGGGACACGCGCCGTGATCACGTGGGACACGTACCGTCACAACGGAGTTTCCGAGCGGTCGACGACGAACGACTTTGTCGAGGTGACGCGGCTGAGCGCTGTGATCGAGTACGTGGGACGACATCGTGACGCGGCGGCGTACCCTGAGTCTGTGTCGCTGTGTGCGCGCAGTACATCGTATCTCGCCAAACCTCATCGCTACATTTTTTATGGGGAAATTGTTTTCGCTGAATGCGTTGTTACCGCTTAACGCGGCACTTTGAAGGCAGCGAGGACTCACTGTGTTCTTGAATATTTCTGTGCGGAGAGTCACACAACCCCTGTGTGTGTGTGTAGGGGGGGGGGGTCCCCAGGTTCTTTAATTTCCTCCAATCGGCAAAACACGAATTCATGAAATTGGGCGAAACATGGGGAAATTGTTTTCGCTGAATGCGTTTTTGGCGCTTAACGCGGCACTTTGAAAGCAACGAGGACTCACTGTGTTCTTGAATATTTCTGTGCGGAGAGTCACATAACCCCTGTGTGTGTGTGTAGGGGGGGGGGGGGTCCCCAGGTTCTCTAATTTCCTCCAATCGGCAAAACACGAATTCATGAAATTGGGCGAAACATCCCAATTCCCGCGAGACCAATTTTGAAAAAGAGTCTTTCGACTTGCTGAGATGTTTCCACGGATGAAGAGCGGAGCTCACCACGTGGTCAAAGGGGGCATTGGGGGCGGCTTTGGGTTTATTGCGCGTCGCAACGCGAGATTTGAACAATCCGAGACCTGCTTGAGGTGACAGCCACGAGAGGCTAAACATAAACGGACAAAAAATGGGGGTTGTGCTTCATCGGCAATAAACTAAAACAACATTTAGGATCTGCCGGACTTTTACCGGCTTCTGGGCCGATGATTTCCAGAAGAATTAATTTGAGCAGAACTCTGCTCGTGCTTTGACTTTCTGACTCTCGTCAGCATAGTCTGGCCTCTTCTTGAAAAAGCCAAAAAAAACCTTGCTGGAGACCATTGTCGCAGCAGTCCCAAAAGGCCGATGGGACCTCAACGTTGATTTATTTGACGGTAAATATGACCTTGTCTGGGTTTATTGTTTTGCATATAATGCCCATAATCCACCGGGGTGGCATGCAACCATTTTTGTGAGAAGCTAAAAGCTCGGTCCGTCTCGTGCTCTCTGTAAATCAGGCAGAGATCATGGTGCGATATTTAAAGCATCGGAGTGGGAGGGGGTAAGCAAGGAGGGAGAGGAGAGAGAGACACGGAGAGGGTGAGAGGATGGGACAGGGAGGCGTGGAAGTGAACCGAGGGTCGCCCACTTAGTCACCATAGCGATGCTGTGTTTGGCAAAAAAAACAAGGGAGTTGAGAGCGCTAATTGCTCTAATCCACAAGGAGTGAGGCATTTAAAACCGTTGACATATCCGATTATGGCTCGTGTCCGATGCCAGCCACACGTCTTGTGTCAAATTGGGAATTTTATGAGCATTCATGCACCTTGCTTTTTAAATCCTTTATATTAAGTTCGCATGCTTGCTTACTTGCTTGCGTGCTTGCTTGCTTAGGACCGTGCAAATCTTTCGGTCGTTTTTTAACCCACTTCCCGTGATCCAATCGAGCTGACATTTTCCACACAGACTCGTTGTGCCAGACAATTAATGTTCGTGAAAAAAAATTCCCAAAATGTTACACTTTTTAGGCAAAAAAAAATTATTTTACATATATTCAAATAGAACTCATTCTTGGCTTTGGCTGAACGTCACAGTATAAGAGCCCAGAGCGTAACCCCTCCACAGGCCGTGGCGGAGTAGCGCAGTTGGTAGTGCCCTCGCTTCCCATGCCAAAGGTCGCGGGATCGATCCCCGCGTCCTCCACAGGCGAATATATTTTAAAATCCTTTATATTAAGTTCGCTGCCACGCATATAAAGGATTTATAGTGAAAAACGTTGTTTTTACGGGTTATACTTTTTTGTGTCTTTGTGTATATATAGATGCCCGCTAGCAGAACTTACCCCACAGTCTGTTAGAGGCTATACGGGGGATCTTTGTCTTGGCAAGCACATGCCGGTCTTTATATATTGGGGATCGGTAGAGTAGTTGTTACTGCCCTACAAACCCGGCAACCCAAGTTCGATTCGCTTTCACGACCAACATCTGAACCGGTGCTCGGTGTCCCCTAGGTCGACTCAGCCTCAAATGAGTGCCTGGTGTGGTGGTGTGTAAACATCGCCACTCGGGAGACAAAGGCGGCCAGGGCTTGGTGTTGGCCACCCACCCCCACGTGTGCGTGTGGCTGCCTTCATAGGTGCTCACTAACAGCACTTGCCCCAATAGACTATCCGGGGGATCTTTGTCTTTGTGTGTGCGAGTGATATCGTCCGTACGTGCACGTCTATATAAGTGTAGGTGTGACATGTGCCAGTGTGGGCTGCTCTGTGTACATCCGCGGTTACCAACGGCCACAGGCATCCCGTACACAGCACGGCGCAGCGGCCACCAAAAATACACCGAGGCCAGCCGAGCGCACATTCATCATCGCCGCCGCCACCGCCGCCAGCCTCTGGCAAGTTCACGCGCGTGGAGGCACTCGCTGGTGGACGCCTCGTGCCGTTCAACTGCGGCGAGTGAGCCATGCCCAGAGAGAGAGAGAGCGACCGGGAGCGGTGCTAACAACCTTCAAGTGGTCGGAGGGGGAGCGGGCGGGGGGGCTCTCAGCCATCGAAATTGATAGTTCAAAAATGTTATTACGTTATCTCGCATCGGTGTGGCGGCTTTTCTTTAAGGTTTAACAGTTTGGCGGATGCCAAAATTACTCAATTGGGATTATTATGCGCAGCGGTAAATCATCGCCCCACCCCACCCCACCACCCCCGACTGGCAGAACCAATGCCCCAGATCACTCGTTGCGAACGAGACTCGGCCGGGCCTGTTGAGTCTTCACCAATGTCAAACTAAATCAGCGGAACCCCATAACCGTGAAACAGAAATTGTGCCCCTGGCGCATCTGCTTCAGCTCGGTGAATCGGCGCCATTGCTGAATCTCGGCAGTCGTTGCAGGTGGCTGGATTAAATGCAACATTTTTATTAAAAAAATTTAAAACTATTTTTTTTGTCCATTGTGCGGTGGCGCACAATGGACCGGAGCAGGATTGCTGCTGCCTGCTTCGACATTCGCTTAAAGTTTGTGTCGCGTCAACTTTCGTGCCACCCACCCCGCCGTCCGAGTGGTGGGGTGGGGGCGGGGGGTTGCACGACAGTTGTCTACTGGACATGTGTGATGAAGAGCTTCACAGCTCATCAGATTCCTCCAACGTAACCAACCGCCCCGCCCCACGCCCCCTCGCGGTGCGGTGTGACCGCCGCTCGCACACTCACTGTAGGGGCTCTCGCTGTGCACGCCGCCGACGTGCCCGTCGGGCAGCACCTGCAGGTGGTAGCCGATGCCCACGTTGCAGTAGAGGCGGCGGACCCGCTTGATCCCCGCCAGGTAGCCGTGCGGGCCCCGCCGCTCCAGCCGCTCCAGGGCCCGCTCCGAGCCGCCCGCCGAGAAGCCTCGCCCGTCACCCGAGAGTCCCAGAGCAGCAGAAGATGACGACGACGACGAGAAGGATGAGTTGGAAGATGCCGGGGGATACCTGGAGTTGTATCGAGAGCCCACGAGCCAGAATTGGCGGGGCACGGTGGCGTGGCTGGAGGAGGTCGCGAGCGGGTGGCACTGCGTCAAATTTGGCGGCGCCCACGTAACGAGGCACGCTGCTACTGCCAAGTGGAGAACCGGCTGAGCTCCACCCATCGTGTGCCAACCACGCGGCACGCGGATTGTTGGCCTGCAGGAGGGAAGATTGGTTGATGGGATCCACCTAAAAATATCAGCAGACTGAAGCCGGCCTCCTCTCTCTCTCTCCACTCTCTTTCTCTCTGTCTGTCTCCCTAAGTCTCTCTCTCTCTCTCTGCCACCACCACCGCCACCAGCACCACTGACACTGCCGGACTTATTATAGCAACAATAACAATGCCTCAAAACTCCAGAATGTGGTCCGGTCTCAGATGCCTGGACACTCCAAAGGACCGAGGGCGCACGTCGGCAGTGAACGGACGAGATTGCAAGAGAGAGAGAGAAAAAAGAATTGCCTTGCGTTGACGTCGTACGGATTGGAGTTGAAACGGTGGCTTTCCGCCAAGACATTGGTGGTGACACGATACCGTGGATGCAAACTGCCATCAGTCAGCCCGCCCTATTTATAAGGAATCCGTCTCGCTCTTGAATGACGTGGGTTAAATGCCATTTCTGCTAAATTTACGGAGTGGCTCTTGGTTCTGGAAGAGAAAAAAAGGTTATTCTTGCGGTGCGCTGGAACGAGTTTGTTGTTGTTGTTCACCCCCTTAGGTGTCTCCCCCCTCGTGCGTCATCTCGAGGCACGCTGCATTTCGCGGGCCACCCGCTGCTAACTTGTGGCCCCAACAAAGCAGCGTGCTGTCAAAAAAAAGAAAACCCGACGAGGTTTAATCAGGTATGAGATCAACAATGCAGGGCACTTGTTTCCGCCCCCGCCCCTTCTTTCATATGCCCGGAGAAAAATCCGTGAAATGTCACAGAGTCGCCTCCGCAGACGTTCGATTGCCGTTGCAGTGCGCGGGTGTGCGCTGAGTCGCGGGAACGATTGCGTCTCAAGGCGAAATCTCTCCATGTGGCTGTTTGCTGCTGCCTGCTGCTGCTTGCTGCTGATGCTGCTGCTGCCTGCTGCTGCTGCTACTGCTGCCTGCTGCTGATGCTGCCTGCTGCTGCTTGCTGCCTGCTGCTGCCTGCTGCTGCTGCTGCCTGCTGCTGCTGCCTGCTGCTGCTGCCTGCTGCTTGCTGCTGATGCTGCTACTGCTTGCTGCCTGCTGCTGCTTGCTGCTTGCTGCTGCTGCCTGCTGCTGCTTTCTGCTGCTGCCTGCTGCTGCTGCTGCCTGCTACTGCTGCTGCCTGCTGCTGCTGCCTGCTGCTGCTACTGCTGCTGCTGCCTCTTAGCTCGTCGCGGGCGCTCCGTTTTCGTCAGGCGCTTTGCGCCGCGTGGCCGGGGTTGTGTCAGGGCAGCAACTCGGCTGTCGGAGGGATGAAGAGCGGCCCGCGATTGAAATTAATTCGCGCGATATTGGTGGGTGGGACGGCGTGGGGAGTGATGCGACGTACATTTTAAACCACCCGTCGGTGTTGAATATCAAATGCGTGCCCACGTTTGCTGCGCTCCGAACGCATACCATCCGCAATCAAATCGCGTTAATTTATGCGGCTGGGTGGTGATGTCGTCGTACATAAACTGCAGTTGGAGAGACGTGAGTCAATTTCCTGTTTGAGGGCCACCGGCTCAGCCCATTATCCCTCCAAAATCAATAAAACGAGTACCACTTGGAGAAAGGCTGCAGTGGCTGTTCTCCGGACAGACTGGGCCCCACCTAGGAAATGTGTAATTTCACCGCCCCAATGTTGGTTTGAGCAGGGAGAGGCGTGCATTTCGTTCCGTTTGTAATTTATGTCGCCAATGGTTCATACGTCCGCCGCTGATTTATTTAAAGCTTTTATTTCTGCCGTCCAGTTTGCATAAAATATCTTCACTGCAGTCACTGTCAGGAGCCGTGGTGAGTGAATTTCACCTTGCCTGACTCCTCCGCTGATTTGTATTTTGCTACTTCATGGAATTTCAGTGGCGCTGTTCCATCACCATGAAATGTTGTGATACTTTCAGGGTGCCGTATTTTAAAATCAAGACCTTGGTTTGTGAGAGCTCGGATGACCGCATCAGAATTCCATGGAATCAAATGCCTTTTTTCACAAGCCACGGAATAATTATGGCATTTGCTATGAAATTGTGTTTATTAGAATGACTCTTAGTATGTATTTAGTCACTTGTAGAACAACGATTTGTTTAAAAATATATAGCAGCCCGCTCTTCATGGCTGGTTGGCCTTGAAATTCAGCGTCTCGTATTAGCATCGTCATCGCATACCTTTCACACTTTGGTGAATGCAGCCCTGCTATGTAGAGGCCCGGAGCTCGCCACTGACGTCGGTTCAGGCGGGCGGCCCTAGCCGATCAGGTGGAGACCTCTCCTCCCCTGGGATCTATGAAATCGCCACCGTTTCCTCGCGCGCCTCCCACCGCCGAACTTGGGACGAGGCCAGACGCAGAGGTCATCACGGACTGCCGCAACGGACCCCAGAGCTGTCCACGCGAATTGATGGACGACGGACGGATTATAACAAGCGGCGTTATTGAATTAACGGCGGCGATTGAGGAACCTGACAAAGAAGGCCGTGATGTGGGGTTAAAGATGAATATAAGCAAAATAAAAGGACAATTCTTCCAGGGACACGGCTGGAAAATGAAAAGCGGCATGCCAATGTGCCTTTAAAAAATATGTTTTTCAGTCGGTGCATATTACCCGCCATGGCATGGATTGGAAACATTGACTCCGACAAAAAACGTGGAATTAATTATTTAAAGTATGCGAAGCAGCATGGAGAAATGCATGCTGGGAATAGCAATGAGAAAAAGGAACCATGTGGATCATAGAACAAATGGAAATTAGACATCATATTGACATAAATAAAAGTGGGTTTGGGGAGGACATATACGCTGGAATGGATGATAGCAGATGGATGAGACTGGTCACATAATGGTAGCTCGAGGAGGAAACCCACCCCTTGAGAGAACGACCACCGTGGAGATGGAACTATGAAATCAGCTCTTGCACGGGAGTGACACGGATTGTGGCATCGCAGGAGCATGACAGGCAGCAATCTTGGGGAGGCCTTCATTTAACGGTGGACAGAAAATGGCCAATAATGATGATGACAAATAATGTAATGTATTGGGTAATATCCATGGTTTGAATGAGCCATTACAGCAGTACTTTATAATGACCGACTCCTTTGAATGATGGCGTCACATCGCCGCTCCACAGCAGACGCTGCTGGGTGGTGCGTTTGTGTAATCGCCAACATCGCGCAAAGCTGCCTCTTCAAGATGCCTCTGACGCATATTTACGTGAGCTTCACAAATAGAACCACGTGAAACACAGCCCTGCGTGCCCTGTGGTTATGACGATTGCGAATGAAACTGAATTTTACCTCGATACCAATCAAAACAAGCCAAGTTGTCTCCGTGCTTTAGCCAAGCGAATGCCGATCGCACTCATCGGCATTTGATGATCTTGAACCGGTGGTGCAAATTCAGCATTGCCATGACGGGGACTCGTCTGTCTGTACCCTAGTCACTGTGGATGAGCCACAAAGCGATAAACTAATGTTTTATCTATCACGGAGAGATGATGGGCTGAGTCGACCGCGGAATTGATCGTGTAAGCACTGAAAACTGCAATGCCAATTCGGACGCTGCTGCAGGACAACTTGCCTCAATGTAAATGTTGTAAAGTACATTTCGACGCTCGATTTTCAACCGCCACTACAGTGTTTCGCGATGATATAACCTGCGAACAGAGATACCTATTAGACTTTGATGCATTTTCAGATTGAATTTGCTCACGCACCATACACACACACGCGCAAAGACAAAGATATCCACCCCCACCTCCCCGATATAGCTTCTACAAAACAGTTGGGGCAAGTGCTGTGAGCACAAACACCGACACACACACGCACGAATTCGCCGTCCTTCCCCCAACATACCGCACATCAATCCAGGAACGCTTTAAACCAGATACCTGCAAAGTTAAAACAAACTGCGCTATGCCGAACCTCTTAAGAGTTTTGAGTAACATTTCCTGTCGCTGGGCCAGAGGAACTTTGCCGACTCAATGTGTGCGAGTTGCAGGAGGGCCAGGTGGGACAGGTTTAGACATCTTCAAAGTGAGGAATCGCCTGTGCACACTGCGCGTGAATGCGTTGGGTTGCACGAGCGTTCGTGAAAGGCCCTACGCGGAAGATCCCTGGATTTGATCTTCCACTGAAGCTCACGGTCCACTCTAAACAGCATCCACTGCCACAAACCACACGGCAGTAGATGCGGAGACCTGCCGCGAAAATGGAGAATGTGAAACTCTCCACAGTGTGCGACTGTAGGTCATCAAGAACAGAGCGCGCAATGCGATGGCCGATCCACACATACGAAGGGAGACATCACAGCGACGAAACACTCCGCTGATGGTCCTGGCACGGTTATCTGGCTTGACCAGCTGCATTGTGAAATCCTACTTGTGGCTCTCTGCATCTACATCAACAGCCATGCGAAAGAAGAAGAATAATCTATTTGGTTCTTTCTTCTTTTCACGTATAAAGATAAAATAATAAATTCCTGCAGTCACGAAAGCTCCAAATTAAGTAAGAAGAAGAAGCGTTTATTGCAGGCCGCAGCACCACATAGCAGCGGCCTCGATGCTGCATCATCGGGATTTGTGCACCGTGCACGCGCACAGTGATCGCCCCGTGACCCGATCAACTCAGAATGCTCCGGATCTCAAAAGCGAAGTGCAATTGAGCCTAGATGGTGCTTGGGTGAGGATAACCACCAATGCATAAGGCATGTTATATAGGCTGTTGTGTATCAAAATATAATGTTGTACCGTACTATGGTCCCACATCTATGCTCCCCCAGCCTTACCAACCCGCACTGACCAACGTGGTGAAGTATGGTCAAGTAACCCCCCCCCCCATGACTTGCACGGCGAGGGAAGGCCCACATCCCGCAGTGGATTGACAAAAGGTCCTCTGTACATCAGGGACTTTAAATGTAAAAAAAACTAAAATCTCAAAGCAGTAATACCCAGATTTACGTCTCGCACGTTTACGTCGTTTCGCAAATACGTCGTCGCTTTGTGATTAACACCACTACGTGATTTGCATCGCCTCAACCCCACACTGACGTCGCTGACCGCATCACGTCTCCTCTCTCGTTATCCTGTCGCCTCTCAGCCTTCGCCTCCACCACCCACTACTACCCTGTACGTCGCTTTGATTGACCTCGTTTCGATATTCGTCCTCGCACCTTGCAGGAACGCATCCCCGACCTAAAGCGGGGTATTGCTGTATATCGGTCAAGAAGTGTAGCGGTGATATTATAGCAAGGCCGTAATTATAATATATATTGGGGGGGACACATTCCCCCCCCCCATATTCAAATATGCTCAAAATGTCCCCCCCGAATATGTTGCTATACAATTGATTTCTGTTTATATGATTGTGGTTATGGTTGTACTTTATTAATCTCTAATGTCTGCCATTACATACAATGAAACAAGAAAAGATAAAAAAAAAAAGATAAAACAGAGCAATGTAATAAATATAATACACTATTAGACATTATTGTTAAAAATAAATAAAAAGTCCATCCCATGTGTTATTGAATTTGTTTATATTTTAGGCAGGAAATTCGTTTTCAAATTTAGATTTTTTTTATGGGGGGGGGGGGGACCCCCAGACCCCCTGGAAGATTTGGTCCCCCCCAATGTTGACTCCATGGCTACGGCCTTGTATTAGAGCGAGCCATGGCAGTGAGCACTGCCCCCATCCCTCGCTTGAGCCGTCACTTTCTTCTATCAGATCTTGCAGCGATTGCATATCCTTCCAATGACAGTGACCGCTTCTTTACAGTCTCATCAAACAAAGCGTCAACACACACAAAAATAAAGATTCCCCGTATTGCCGAAACAGACTATTGGGGCAAGTGCTGTTAGCGAGCACCTATGAAGACCGGCACAGCACACGAGGGGGGGGGGGGGGGTGGCCAGCACCACGCCCAGCATTGGAGTTTTACACATCGCTACACCAGGTACTCATTTGAGGCTGAGTCGACCTAGGGGAGGCACGGGACCGATTCAGATACAATCGTCACTGGTTTTGGCCGTGAGCGGAAATCGAACTCGGTTCGCCGGGTTCATAGCACAGCGTGCTAACCGCTTCACCACCGCTCCCCTGTGTGCCTCACCACCACCACCAGCTTGGGTCTTCCCCTCGGCAGTGAAGCGCTGGGTACCACTCCATTGCCTGTCTCGGTAAGCAGCTCTACTCCATTCTGTACACTGCGTCTCATCAATCACAAGTGTCTCTTCCTGATTAAGTCTACGCTGCTCTTCTTTGCTATTCCAAACAGCCGACGTGTCTACCCTATCCCCCCACGAAATTCCACAAACCCGCCCGCATGCGCCTAATAAACTGAATGTCCGTAGACATTTTATATCCGATAGTTTTGTTAAAGTTCACCATCCTGACCTATGACACACACACACACAAATTACGCTTCTACTTCACACATTATAGCTTCCGCTGAAGTTAACTTTTCTGCCGTGGGTACAGCGTGTTAAAAGCGTGCTAAAAGTATCCATGTGCGTGAATGGCGTTATAGTTTCTACGCGTGTCCCAGTGGCAGAGCGGGCGATGATTCAGCCGTGACGACTTTTCCATTTCCAACGTCTCGACCAGAAGCCACGGGGTGGCGGGGAAGGGGGTGGGCAGCGAGGGGGGGGGGGGGGGTCTCGCTCTGCTGTCCACGGGGAGTCCCCGCTGACTCAGCCAGGAGTTGAGGGCAAGGTGGTTCGCCGCTGCCGCCACGCTGCGTCCACTTTCGGAAGCTTCGCCTCGCAAAGAGGGCCCATGGGCACGTGGCGGCAAGGGCCTCGGGACACCGCGACGCACGGTGGCTTCGCGGATTCACGCTCGGGAATCGGCTATTTCCGTTGCCGCACAGCAAGGGAGCTCAAATGCTGCTCCGACAAATTTGGGTTGATCGCAGCTGGATGTCAGGATGAGAACCCTGAATATCAGTGGAGCCGAAAAATAATCAAAGGCGGTGTTAAGATGTTCAAACACCAAGTTGAGATAGCTTTCGCAAGGAATCAAGTCTGCATTAACCACACACAGTGCTTGTGAACATGCAAACAAACTCTGATAGTCTACGCATTGTCTTTGGAGCTGATTGGCCTACACCAGAGAAAGCAGTCTTTATGGCCTAGTGAGTGGGGTGGGGAACCTTTTTCTGCCAAGGGCCATTTGGATATTTATAACATCATTCGCGGGCCATACAAAATTATCAACTTAAAAATGTGCCCGTTATAATTGGTCAAACATTGAATTAACTCACCCATAATGTGATGGCTGGAACAGACCAAATTATTTCGCGGGCCTTATACGGCCCGTGGGCCGGACGTTCCCCACCCCTGGCCGACTCTAGTCTCTCACCACCGTCAGACCAGAGAACGCCAGAAGGCGCACAGTACAAAGACAATGACACACGTATTTGAGCATTTATAGCTCTGGATGAGCAGCTGCATCATGGGGCCTGTCTGCCGGTATCAAAGTGTGGACAAATAAGAACACATTTGGCCCCTTCTGCCAATAAAACAAGAGGTGTTAAGATGTTCAAACACCAAATAGATACATCTTCTTGGTTCTTTCGGTAAAGTCACGTAGAATGGAAATAATAAAATAATAAAAATAAAACATAATAAAATAATTCTCACGACGTTTCGGCCACAACGCAAGCAGCCGTCCTCAGGTGAAGAACATGTCTGTCGAGTAGACAGAGTCAGACTCAGGTGAAGAATAGGTCTGTCGAGAAGACAGAATCTGAATGTCTTCTCGACAGACCTGTTCTTCACCTGGACGGCTGCTTGCGTTGTGGCCAAAACGTCGTGAGAATGATTTTATTATGTTTTATTTTTATTATTTTATTATTTCCCTTCTACGTGACTTTACCGAAAGAACCAATAAGATGAATCCCTGCAGTCACGAAAGCTTTAAATCGAAACCAAATAGATACCTTTTGCTAGGTATCAAGTGGAGCTGATGGCTCGTTGTTCTGGGTCATGGCGCACGATGGAACCGACGAGACGTGCAGTGGTGTCGCGATTCTTGATGAAAGTTCGCGGCGAACCTGAGTCTTGGTGTGGTGGCACATCGAGCGGGTCTCGGATTACACAACGTAACAGCCATTCCTTTTTTAAAATGACAACGCGACCATAATGACAAACGTAAACAGTTTAATGACGGACAACGCGCATCAAAAAGCACACCGCCCGCCGTTCGAATATGAAGAGGAGCCAGAGTGAGCACATTTTGTCAAATAAATACAGCACGAGCAAAACTGGCCAATAATCACACCAAGCCTAATTCGGCAGAGGTAGCCAATGGAGTGTCACCTTGTCAACAGTAACACATTTCACGGCGGCAGAGGAAATGGTTTGGGAATGTGATTATCAAACGGCGGTGACTCAATTGCTAAGCAAGTTGTTGCTTGTGACCTCAATGCGCTCAGGGATGCACGCTAACGACACTCGCTAACGGCTATTGTTGATGTCACCACCGCTCTAGAAGGAACAATGCGTCCGTTTCGCGAAATATGCGCGAGCTAGAACATTGTGTGTGTTTGTTGTTATTATTGTTGTTAACAGTGGAGGAGTTTGACGAAACTTTTTTTGGTTCTTGAACGATTTTTTATTGGCCCCACATTTGCGTAAAGGACACAAATTAGAGCAATATCAATTGATGTTAATGCGTGGGTTTGTTTTAAATGTACGTTTGAATGGGTACTTTCGTATCTATTGGACATGGAGCAAGTTAATCCCTCCCACTGTGATCGAATGATGATTTGTTACGATTTAGGGTAGATATTCGATTCAATAAAAAAATTTCATCTAATTTTTACTGCCTCATTTCTATTTTCCTGTCTGTGCAGTTCTGTCCACTCCATTGGGCTCAAATGTGCCATCGTATCTTTTTTGCGTGCCATCTTAAAAAAAATCATAAATAATCGACTTTATCTGGATCGCGAGCATTTAGAGCTGATTTTAATCAATGAAATCAATGCACGCGTACAAATGAATGTTATCGATCACAAATTAACAATTAGCGAAGCATCGATGTGAGTCAACGAGCATTGGGCAGTGCCCATCTCCATTGGTGGTCCTGAGTCAGCGGTGGAAATTCCACATTCGTTCGGCGGGAACAAGCCTTGCCCGAACTGGAAAACCACCACCAATGACTTCCTACATGCAAAGCGATCACTCGCTGCCCACCTTGGCTCCAACCGCATTGTCACAGGCACGGCACCGTGTGGCACTGTGCTATGAGCCCCAGCAAACCGAGTTTCATTCCCTGCCACGGCTATCATCAGTGGGTGAGTGATATCCCAACCGGTCCTCGGCCGGGTTCCGTGACCCCTTCACCTTCCCCGTACTGACGAGTGCGGTGAAGTATGGTCAAACAACCTCTGCGACCTGCACATCATGTGGAGGTCCACACTCTTTGGTTCTTTCGGTAAAGTCACGTAGGTAGAAAATAAACTAAACTAAATCACGACGTTTCGGGCGCTACACAAGCGTCCGTCATCAGGTGGGACAACCACAGCAAGAAACAATTGCTGAAGTGGGCTGTGGTTGTCGCACCTGATGACGGACGCTTGTGTTGCGCCCGAAACGTCGTGATTTAATTTATTTTATTTTCTACCTACGTGACTTTACCGAAAGAACCAAAGAGTATGGATCCCTACAGTCACGACAACTTCAAATCTAGATCTTCGTCAAGCGGAGGTTTGACAAAGGGGTTTGCACTCTGTGTGTTCGAAATTCATTTTTAAATAACAATGGCATCACTCTGGGTCGATTGATGCCCTCTGGACACGAGGACTCAAGCCACACACGTGGAGACAGTGCAGCACATTCTGTGTCATTGCCCCCGCCAGTACATTCAAAACGTAACTTCTATCCGACGAGGTCAGGAGGTCATCGTGGCTAATACCGTCATTGTTGCCGTCGCCGCACCTCGCCGTCGCTTCCTTCCTTCTGCCAGATGCACGTATGTTGAACTTCTTTCGCGCCGTACGTAGTCAACCGTGCTAATCGGAGGTGCGAATCACACACCCGTTGCTCTTAAGGCCTCACCACCACCACCACCAAGATCTGATTTTATTTCCTCCCCTTCGTCTCAGAGCTCTGGATGCGACTCCAGTGCTCGTCTCGGTGACCTGCCCTCCACCGGCTGCACGCACATTCCACCCAATCGCAGCATTCTCTTCTTGAATAAGCCAACAATGCTTGCCTACCCAATTATATTCTGAACTTCCAAGTTGCTTACCCGTTGATGTTGTTGAGACTCCTGGCATCATCTGTGCGCACCTCTACTCAAAAGTCCTAGGAGCTTCTTGTCTTGTCGCTCCCTCTTAGAGTCCCAGCTCTCTGACCCTCAGTTGGCTACGTAATAAATAACAGCGTTAACAAGCAGAAGCCTCATCCCAAATGTGACTCATGCCTGGACACTGACCCCCACTGTTCAATGTCAAGCTCTTGGCTCTATCTCAAAAGTGATGTCACCCTCCCTACAACACACTACCAGTCCAATACATTCCCGACGGGTGAATCCTTGCGCAGAGTGAGCGTGCGCTGGGCACATCGCGTTGTGGCCAAGGTGGCTTAAGCCACTTGCACCAGGTGGCCCCCAAGGTGGCCCTTGTGAAATGCGCGCACAGCAGCCACGGAAGGTTCATCATCGGGCTGGCGTGACGGCGAAGCAAATCGTCGCTCGCAGGGTCTGGCACGAGCGTGGGTGGGTGCAGTTCTCGCACGCATTGGCGGCACTGGTGCAGTGGTGGAAATTCCACATTCCCATGGGAAGGGTGTCAATTTAGCCACGCGCGCGGCATTTTCAATTCCGGGGCCACTTTGTACGAACAAAGTGAGTCTCGTGATGAGTTCGCGGGGTGTGTGTTTGTGCCTGGAAAAAACGCAGTCATTGGCTCGTAAACTTGTACCGTGTAACTGGTCAGCAACATGAAAGTCTTTACAGTATTTATATATTATTATTACTTTTAATGATGCAGTAGTTGATCTTTTCTCACTGAGAGCCTCCTTCTCCTCCGCGTCTTGTTCACAGAGTGAATTAGATCACTTCCCCTTGTAACACTTCGTGCCACTGTTCTCCACGCAGCACCGCTGGACTCCTGGCCAAGCGGCGTCACGAAGTCCGCAGCCAAGAGCCGGGAGAGAACGAGCGGCAACGCTTGAGTCTGGAACGGTGTTCTCTTGAACCGCGGCAGAAACAGCGGCCTGGGCTGCAAACGCAGCAAGAAATCCAATTAAAATCCGATTGATCGATCGATCGACGTCATTAAATGTCCATGGATGTCACCGACTTCCCCGATCTGGCGCTCATTTGACGACTCTCCGACCAGAGCCAGGGGCACGATCACCGGGCGCGGCGGTGGCGCGCTGGGCCCCCTATCGGGAGGTCCATGTTGAGGGCAGGGCGTGCGTGTGGTGACCTTATTTATTGGTTGACCATACTTTACCAAACCCTGTGTCAGTGCGGGTTGCTGAAGGCGGGCCAGCATAGACGTAGGAGCATAGTACAGCACAACAATGGGTTTTGCTGCCCACCTTGCAGCAGCCTGCACCACGTGTGTCCTGCGCGGTCGTCGTCCATTCAAACGCCGTCGAAGCCCAACCCTCCTGCTTAGCGTCTGAGAACTGGTGAGGTCGGCCCAAATTCTGGGTAAGTTGGTGGGCGGTAGGTACTACAGTCGGATAGAATATTGGGGATATGGTTATTGGCCTCTGCGTTGACTTATGTCGGTGCTGCCCGTTCATTGTGGATTCTCGTGCTGTGACCCTGGCTATCGCCGCCGGCTAAAACCGTCCCGTGCCCACCGCTGCAAGGGCAAGAGCTGCGTAAGTCTCGAGGCCCAAGGAGCTTTCGCGCCGTGCTGGGTGAGAGGCCGCTTGCAGCGACTTGGCAAGTCACTCTCGGGTCACCATCTTCTCCGTCGTTGACGCGACGTTCGACCTCTCGCCGCACGGATTCCCACAACGGCGGCGCGCGTCTTCACCTCGTGAAAAATCTCGCCAAACGGCAGCGCGATTCGAGAGCTATCAAACAAAACAAAAACAAAGAGAGACTCCAAGCTGAAGGAAGGAAGAAAAGGAAAAAGGCGCCGGGGGGCACTTTGGGACAGCCGCAAACGCCAGAGGGCCCTCTCGGCTCGTCGCCGCTTTGACCCGCTTAGCCCAGCTCCGGCAGCCGCCCGGGGCCGTGGCCGGCCGCCAGCAGCAGCAGCAGGCGCAGCAGCTCGCGGTCGGTGGCGTCGAGGATGCGCGGGAGGAAGAGGGCGGCCACCTGCACGGCGTGCGTCTTGAAGCCCCGCCGCGGCCGGCCCTTGCCGTTGATGGTCACGTACCAGGGCCGCCGTGCGCCGGTCTGCCCGCCGGCACCGGTGCCCTCGTCGCCGTTGCCACCGAAGGCGCGCGACGCGTACGTGTTGTATCCCAGGGCGTTGATGCGCTCCGTGAACTCGCACTCCGGGCCGAACGACGCCTGCGGCGATTGGGGGGAGGTGCGGGGAGTCGAGCGAAAGAGTTAAGACGCCGCGGAGTGGGGCCGTGCCACGTCTCACTGCTGCCCATTACTGTGGAACCGTTCGATTAGCGCGGTTGGCCATGTACGCTGCGAAAGAAGTTCAACGCACGTGGGACACACACATGGGAGAGTTGTCACGAGACGTCAGCCATTGCAGCCTCTGTATATTGTTTCCTCCTAGGGTAGTGTTGTCGATAATTACGTTTGAGATTTCCACCGGTGACCAAATGGCCCGCAATGTGTCTGGTCTCGTCACAGATCGCAAGCTAAGCGGGCGTTGAGCCTGGATAGTGCTTGGATGGGCGGCCACCACGCACAACAGGTGGTGGCGGGCCACGGAAATAAGTGGTGGCAGCAGCAGGAAAGTGCCGACTCGCACTGACCAGCGTGGTGAAGTATGGTCAAATGACCGTCAATGGATTGACAAACAAGCTGCAGAGGTGACGCTTTACCGCATCGGGGATTCATTGGAATGTCACAATCTGGGGTAAAATTAGATTCAAGAATCAAACAATTTGTCTCGTTTTTAGCGTCTCATTTGTACAATTGTGTTAGATGCAAACGCTTCTTTGCAGCCGACCATGTGCATTCTGTATTCTGTATGAATTGTAAATCCAAGCGTGATTCCTTGCATTGGAACCTTGAGTGCAAGAACACAGTCTTGTCAATTAAACTGATGCACTTTTATGAACAAATTTTTGAACACAATCGTCAATAACACTGTCGCCTTAAAATAAAATGAAAGACGTGTTAGAGGTGACGTTTCGGGCAATGTCCCTTCTTCACAGCACAGACAAACACTTCATATTTTGGGCACCTGTTATTAAGAAGGCCATTGCGAAAAACATCACTGATTGCATTTTTTTTAAGACCACAGTGTTAACCGATGATTTGTGTTGAGTTCGATTACGTTGTTTTTTTTCCTCCCCCGTCAAAAACACGCGTGCACATTTCTACACGCGCATTGCAGTGCCACTGGGCTGCACGCTGCTGACTTGCAGTATGCAGCTCAGTAGGGACCGCCCTACCCAACATGCTGCAGCCGCGACCCTCATCAGGACAAGCGGAGAAACGAACGCACAGATCAGAATCGTGATCTTCATTTAGAGGAATCCGATGAGCTATGAAGCTCTGTTTCACACACGTCCAGTGGGGGGGGGGGGGGGGGGGGGGGGGGGTTATGCATCCATCCTAAAGGGCAACATCGGTAGCCGTGGATAATTATTTTACACGCGTAAAATGTGTTTCAAAAATAACCGATCCGTGATTTGAGCCGTTCTGAAAGTAAGAACAATGATCATGTATCGAGAAATGCCTCGGGAAGAGTCTCACCACGCGTGTTTAGGAGGGTCTCGCATGGGATGCATTGGCCAATTCCATTCACGAGTGGCATGTGGGAGTACATGAGAGCACCCACAGTAAACCCACACATATGGGGGGGGGGGGGGTGGGGGGGTTACACTCAAGGGCCGCACGGATGGGCTCACAGACCCCAGTTGCTGTCCTGCCATCTCCTAGCCACCTCGTCACAGCCCAGCCGCATTGGGTGTCTAACAAATTCGCATGATCCACCAACCATTGACAAGTGTACGACACACAAGGTGATTAATTCTAGATTTGAAGCTTTCGTGACTGCAAGGATTCATATTCTTAGGTTTTTTCGGTAAAGTCACGTAGGTAAAAAATACAGCTATCGTGCTGTGACTGTTCCACCTGAAGACGGAAGCTTGTGTTGCCTCCGAAACGTCGTGATTTTTATTTTATTTTACTTTTATTAATTTCAACTTTTTTACCTACGTTACTTTACCGAAAAAACCCAAGAATACACAAGGTGATTGTCTCAACAGCAGAAGGCAAAATTGTGACCATTAGCCCGGTATTCCCAGCATGCATTGCATGTCACACGACACCACCGTGCTGCGTGTATCATGTTTGTGGTCAAGCCTTGTGTCTTGACCACAAACATGAAGAAAACACACGGGATCAATTTACATTCGCAATCATCGGCAGAGTCTAGTCGTCGTTGCCTACTGCGGCTGCCTCGTGCGTCAGGGGCTCGGCGTTGACAGGCCCTGCCCGATCACTTGCGGGCAGAGTGCGGCACTGCCTAGACGTTGGCAAATAAAGCAATGAATCTTCTTGGTTCTTTCGGTAAAGTCACGTAGAAGGGAATTAATAAAATAATAAAAATAAAACATAATAAAATAATTCTCACGACGTTTCGGCCACAACGCAAGCAGCCGTCCTCAGGTGAAGAATGAAACACCACCAAGCTTGGTGGTGTTTCATTCTTGTGACCATGGTGTTTCATTCTTCACCTGAGGACGGCTGCTTGCGTTGTGGCCGAAACGTCGTGAGAATGATTTTATTATGTTTTATTTTTATTATTTGATTACTTCCCTTCTACGTGACTTTACCGAAAGAACCAAGAAGATGAATCCCTGCAGTCACGAAAGCTTTAAATCGAAATTTAAAGCAATGAAGGCAACGCGAACACTCGATGTTGCGCGTGTGGCGAGAAGCTCGCTGAGCAGAGAGGACGGAGAGCTGCGCGCAGGGCGCTGCACGCGAAGTGTAAAGCGTCCGGATCACGCGGTGCGAGGTCGCACAATCGGCGTTGTGCTCAGCGGCGTCGCGACGGGCTGCTGCGAGATCCGACCGCGTCCGTCCGGTGCTCGCTGAGCTGCATTGGCTTCTACTCAGTGACACACAAAGCGCTTGCCACAGAATGCACCACGAGAGCATGAACCATCACGCACGGCTGCTTGGCTCGCCATCGAACGAAGACGGTCACCGCAGCGCGCGTTTTCAGATGCGCTTTCGCGGCCGTCTGGAATGCTCTCTCTTCCGATATTGGGAAGCCACTGGAGCTGTACACTTTTAAATACGCTAGATTGAAGACGCATTTCTTCAGAACTGCTTTTGTGTTGAATTTTTTGTCTTTCCCCGGTACCTCCGATTAGCACGCTTGGCTACGTACGGTGTGAAATAAGTTCAACGTACGTAGCAGCGTGTACGCTCCGCTCAGGGCTTATCAGAGGAAGCATGTTTCTGAAACCCCCCCCCCCCCCGCTGCCGCCACTACTCGAGGGAGTTTACGGAAGCGATTTGACCTCTCGACCTGGAACGTGATGCCAAGTTAAACGCCGCCGCCGCTGGGAAACCCTCCTCGGAAACTTCGCTCAGAGTGGAGCTCACGTGGGCACGGGTGGGTGGACGCAGCGACGGACGTCGCACGCCTGAGCGAGCGTGCTGGGCTCGCCGGGTAACGCGAGACGGACGCGTGCGCCCCGAGTCGCAACACAACAACGGATCGCGCCGTGCGCTAGCCACTGCCGCGCCGATCGGAATCGTCGTCGTCGTCGTCATACGCACCACCACCATCGCCACTATCATCATCATCATCAATCCCACATGCAAATCATTGTCACAATAATCATCAAACGTACCACCATCGCCATCGCCACTATCACCATCAATGCCACATTTTTATTATTGTCACAATCATCGACGTCATACGCACCACCACCACCATCGCCACTATCATCACCATCATCATCAATCCCACATGCAAATCATTGTCACAATAATCATCAAACGTACCACCATCGCCATCGCCACTATCACCATCAATGCCACATTTTTATTATTGTCACAATCATCGATGTCATACGCACCACCACCACCATCGCCACTATCATCATCATCATCAATCCCACATGCGAATCATTGTCACAATAATCATCAAACGTACCACCACCAACATCGGCACTATCATCATCAATGCCACATGTTCATGATTATCACAATCATCATAATCAGTTATTCTACAACAATAATCGCCATCATTTGCACCTCCACATTTATCATCATCACCATCCATACCACCACCACCTCCACCATCATCATCATCATCGATACGATTATCATTTGTACCACCACAAACATCGTCATAATTTACACAGCACCTCTACCGTTGCCATCGTCATCGTCATTACCTTCACATATCTATTAACAGCAAGTCAATTTCCTTTAGTTACTCAGAATATCACTGCGCAAATATCACAGCTCAAACATTACATTTGTAAAAATCAACTAAAGTTGAAAATACATGGTTACAGTTCTCAGCTCTATTGTATGTACAGTATGTTGACACTTCTTTTGCACCGTACGTATCCAACCGTGCTCTTTGACCTCTGACCACGTAAAGGAAACGAGTTAACTCTATTCTCAGAACACCTGTGCACTTGCTTTAACACGGGATCAATTACATAGAGGAACAATTGTGAACATGTATTTGGGGTCAGGGTTACGTTGCCAAAATACGATCGTGAGCAGCAGGGGTCCCATGGTCTGGATAATAATAATAAAAAAGCTGTTGTGTTAGAGAACATCTTAATTTGGAACACTCAAAGGAGGGCCGAGTAACCGAGCACTCCACTCCATCTTCATAGCAACAAACCCGGACATTTGTTCATTACCGCACGAGAGCAAGGGCTCTTTATGCCGACCGATCGCCGTGATTGTGTCACCAGGCGAGAACCCACGGAGACCTCAAGTATCTTTTGCAAGGTTGACCTCGGGGCCAAACAGGTGATGACAAACGCAAGCGTAGGTGAGGTCTGAACACGCGGACAAGGGGGGGCTGCGAGGCCTACGAAGAGAAGCTCGGTTGCTCGCCAGCGAGAGAACGCCGACTTTTGTGGAAGTCAACCACGTGCCGGCAATTACTCGCGCGATACTTTTGATCTAAAAAAAAATTAACCCGTAAAAACAAGGTTTTTCACTATAAATCCTTTATATGCGTGGCGGCTAGAGTCCTCTCGTCCTCTGGCTTGAGATGGCTGCCACCTATGGGTCAGATGATTGCCTGCCACCATTAAGCAATTGGTAATTAAATATAATTTATTTTTTCCTAAAAAGTGTACAATTTTGGAAAAAAAATTTCACGAAAATAAATGGTCACGCACAACGAGTCTGCGTGCAAAATGCAGCTCGATTGGATCACGGGAAGTGGGTTAAAAAACGACCGAAAGATTTGCACGGTCGTAAGCGCGCAAGCAAGTGATGTACAATTTTGGAAAAAAAATTTCACGAAAATAAATGGTCACGCACAACGAGTCTGCGTGCAAAATGCAGCTCGATTGGATCACGGGAAGTGGGTTAAAAAACGACCGAAAGATTTGCACGGTCGTAAGCGCGCAAGCAAGTGAACTTAATATAAAGGATTTAAAAAGGCCAGGGTGCAAAATGTAGAAGCGATCGAGTAGAAATGTGATTAGCGATTGCGCTCAAAACATTTCAGGTCGGGTATCCAAGTCTTGCTCTCTGGTCCTTTCAGTAAAGTCACGTAGATTTCCAAGTCTTGCCGAATTCTGGGATCGATTGAGACGGAACGGAATTTAATTCCCAGAGTGGCAGCCTTCGCACGGCCCCACTCTGTTGTTGAACGAGAAAAAATCACGGCGAATGCCATCGACGCGGCGACCGTCGAACATCGATCATCGATCACCCGGGTCTCCGTAGCAACACAAACGGCACCAACAGCACCAGCGAGCATTCCCAGAGTACGCAGCGTCGCGGTGCGAAAAAACGCATTTCCCGAATCTGGCTTTGACCCCTGAACCCCACGGAGAGACTCGTCTTTGACTGCGAGTGTTTTACATCTGGAATGGGTGAAACGGTTAAGCGCAGGGAACGGCTGTCTGCCTCTCTTGATCGCTTTAACAAATGCCCTGAAGCAAGTGGCCCTGCGACGCATTTGGCGACGGACGTTTAGCCGCGTTCGGCCACAGTCTCCCCTTGCGGAGGAATCAAATTCCCACGGGGTTCTCAAATCGACATTTATCCAGTGAGCAACTGGCATTCCAACAACGGTTATTTGTTGTGTTTAAATCCTGGTGTGGTATCTTCTTGGTTTTTTCGGTAAAGTCACGTAGAAGGGAAATAATAAAATAATAAAAATAACACATAATCAATGAATGACGCTGTCTTTCCGACAGACCTGTTCTTCACTTGAGGACGGCTGCTTGCGTTGTGGCCGAAACGTCGTGATAATTATTTTATTGTTTTATTTTTATTGTTTTATTATTTCCCTTCTACGTCACTTTACCGAAAGAACCAAGAAGATGAATCCCTGCAGTCGCGAAAGCTTTAAATCGAAATCCTGGTGTGGTAGTTAACTTTGCCCATCATACATTTGGGGTCAATTCAATGAATACCACTTTGTGGGGAGCTAACGTGAACACTTTCACCTGGAACCAGAAGCCCTCTGCTCCGTGCTGTCATCCCTTCATATATTTTTTTTATTGGTGTGCTTTTTGCTATTTTAGAATGTGTTTTACTATTCTAAATTCCAAAAATGGTAGACAATTGAAACCCAAGCCTCATTTGCTGCAAGGAAGCACTCAAGATTTATTTCTCGCGATCACTTGACCAGATCTCTCACATTCCTGCAGAGTCTGCTGAAGCTTTGTTCACAGAATGTGGGTGCTGGAATGAGCTCTTCCGTTAAAGGGCTTTTGCTGCCTACATTTGCAGCACGGCGCACATTTTGCTGCATCGCAACCCAACGACGCACTTCCAGGTGCAATAGCATCCCAGTGTTCCGGGGTGTACACGAGTTTACCGAAGCGTAGAGCCGTCCCTTGCTGTTCATGGCGAGAAAGCGACCAGCGAGGAGCCCCTTTATGGCCACAACTCCCACGTCCACCGATGTGATCTCCAGTATACCTGGCAAAAGACAAAGATCCGCCGTATAGCCTTAACAGAATGTTGGGACAAGTGCTGTTAGCGAGAACGTATTGAAGGCTGGCACTGTGGCACACGAGGGGTGGGTGGTCAGTAACACGCCCGGCCGTCTTTGTCTCCTCAGTAGCGATGTTTACACACCGTACCGGGTACTCATTTGAGGCTGATTCGACATAGGGGAGGCCCAGGACCAATTCAGATATTCGTCACTGGTATTGGCCGTATGCGGGAATTGAACTCGGGAAGCTGGGTTCGTAGCGCAGTGCGCTAACCGCTACAATACCACAAAACAGTCAGCCATCGCCCTCAACATCACTATCAGCGAAAGCCATATCGTAATCACCACTCTTATCATCATTATCATCACCACCATTATCATCATGATCCCTGACTTCATCATCATCGACGTGATTATAGCTGGCATCATTATTACCACCATTGCGATCATGATCACTCGATTAATTATCATCACAAGCGACATGATCACACCACCACCTCTACACCTCCATCAACAACGCGATCACAGAACAAACATCTTCATCATCACTATCATGGTGATCATCAGCACCACCATCAGCATTGCTTCTATCATCCTCATTTGTAGCTCCATTATCACCACGCAGCTCGTCGGGTTTGAGAGTGTCTTAACTATCTAAACTATGTTTTATTTCACCCTGTGAGGCCCACTGAGCGACGTAGCTCTTTTTCAGAAGCAGCATGGCCACAAATGATACTTCAACAAAGCGGCTTATCGTGTGGAAATTGGTAGCAGGTAAATCCTCTCGATGCATGTTTCTAAGTGTGGAGGGAAAAACCGGAGAACTCGCAGGAAATCCACGCGACCACGGGGAGATAAGACACGCAAACTCCAAATATACAGCAGCAGGCGTCAGGGTCGGGATGGAATCCACACCCTCCCGCATACCAGGCGAGGTAGTTAACATCTCCCCATCGCAGGGGGGTCACACGGGATGTCACAAAGCTCTGCGTGATGCACCAACCCTCGGATCACAGACGTGCGCCGCCACGGACGGATACATGATGACCTCCCATTGACGATCTAGTCAGCTCTCAGCAGCTAAGCAGGTTCGGGCCTGGCCAGCCCTGAGGCTTCCTACGGGACTATGCTGTCAGCAGAGGGCAGTGCAGTAACAATCAACAGTTGTAGTCACAACCCGTTCTGGCCAACGTCAAGGAGGATGGTCAAATCACCATCAAGGACCCGCATGCCGAGGGGAGGCCCTCATCCAGCAGTGGATTGAGCAAAGGAGCTGTGCTTCAAAAAATGTTAGCACTTGTGAGACTTTGCAACAACGCCACAAGAAATGTGCCTCTGGGCTCTGGAGACGACCTGGAGAAGATTCCAGCCATGTGTTGACTGATGGAGACTCTGACTTTTTTAAGCTATTAACATGACATTTGTTATCATGTTACAGTATATTATGCGTTCTTTTTCCATTCAAGACGATAGTCCCATATAAGTGTTAAATTGCCTTCTAAGCGCCCTGTGTAGCAACGGTGATGTGCTTCACGCACGCAATCCGGGCAGCGTCATCTCGTGGGGTCTGCAGCCCGGGACCTGCTCACACTCAGCCCATGAGCCAAGGGGAGGATGGTCGGTACGACCTGGGGAGACAGATTCCACCACTACCCCCCATAGGCAGTATCCACCACGGGCAGAGAGAGATATATATCTTAGCGCATACACAGTACTCTCTGTCTGAAATCGTATCTTATTTTTTAAAAGTTGAATTTCTTTCGCACCATACGTACCCAACCGTGCTAATCGGTGGTGCGATTAGCGCGGTCGGCTACGCAGATACCACGCGAACCATTTCTTTCACGATGTTTTTGTAAAAAAATCTTCTATTCGACACAACACAAAACCTATCGCGGTCGCGTTGCCATCGTGCGTCTCTGTCATCCGGAGATACCGTTCTTTCAGAAAATCGTCGTCAGCACTTGCCACCCACCACGCATGGGTACCGATGGAGCCACGATGTCGTTCCCCGTGGCTCAAAGGACGAGAACAACAACAACAAATAAACAGGCACTAAATTTTTACTTAAAACGTTCGTGACTGCAGGAATTCATATTATATGGTTCTTCGATAGAAAAAATAATAAAAATAAAGTGTCTTCTTGGTTCTTTCGGTAAAGTCACGTAGAATATTTTACGTGACTTTACCGAAAGAACCAAGAAGATGAATCCCTGCAGTCACGAAAGCTTTAAATCGAAAAATAAAGTGATTAAAAATATCACGACGTTTCGATCGCAGCACGAGCGGTCGTCATCTATCTCCGCGACTTTACCGAAAGAACCATCGAATAAAAGCCGGCACCACTTACTCAACACGCTGTTCCTGTCCAGGGTGCCGTCCACATCTCCGCTCGGGTGGATCTGCACGTGGAACCTGGTGGCACAGAACAGCTTCCGACGCCGTGGCGCTCCGCCCAGGTGCTCGTAGACGGGCAGCAGATCGTAGGCACGGCCGCCGTCTCTCGCGAACCGGTGTCGCTTCTCCTCCTCCTCCTTCTGCTCGACCCGCGGGACACCGGCATCGAGGCTGGTGGTGCCGGTTGGACCCCGGGTTGCGCCGTGGTGGTGCCGCTGCTGCTGCTGCTGCTGCTGCTCGGTGGAGGAGTCTGCCTGGGCAAGAGCCAAGCAGATGATGGCAATTACCAGCAGCATGGTCGTAGGCTCGAGGTGTCGTCGGGACACATGTTCGCACCCAGGTGATAGACGTGGACATCTGCCGTGAGCTACATCCATTGGCGCCTTTGCTTCATTCCTTCTCGTTCCCTCCGACAACAAAAGTTTCGCTCAATGCAACTACCGCACGAACAGCACGCAATTAAGCAAAAGTAACATTCTGTTTTAAAACAATTTCAATGTTGAGTTCTGCTTGTTTCTCGTCACTCCACCCTCATCCCACCACCCTGCCTGTCTTTCTTCGCCGAGATGATTGTCGACAAGCTGCGCGATGTCTCTGTAGTCTACCGCGTGCTGGTGCCGCCACCACCCACCACCACCCACCACCAGCACGTGTTTGTGGCACCTACGGCAGACACGTGTCTCTGAGTGACGACGGAACGGACAACGACCTCCTTGCAGCCTCAAGAGCCTGACCGCCCCCCCCCCAAACCTTGTCTTTTAAATCTCGGGCAGGGCCCACGCCGCCACCCATCGCGTGTCAAGAAGTGTCTCTCGACCCCGTGATCACACCCACCACGACCCAATAAGCACAAAGGAAGAGAGGTGTCTGTGTGTGGTGCGGTGTGTTTGAGCCCCCGCCCCCCCCGTCTTCTCCCGTTTGATCCCGGTGCGGGTGGGGTTCGTGGGGGTGGAATGCGAAGTTTGGTGGCGTCCGTCCGTCCGTTCTCCCCTCTCTCTTCTCTCTGTCATCCGCGTGTAAAGTCACCCGGGCGTCAGATTTTACGACCGAGACCAGACGAGAGAGAGAGAGAGAGGAAATTGTGCAAGGGAGGAGGAGGAGGAGGATGATGAGTCGTGCAGACGGGAAAATGCCAACGTCATTGGGGGAAACCGGCGGCCGTGTTGTTGATTCTTCTTCTCGCTGTGCGTTGTTTGGCACGGTGTCTGACGTTTCGCTCCACGAGCTGGGGGGGCTCATTCAGGAACTGTGATAACGGTGTCCCGTGCACTTATTGAGCAATGGGGGCTTCCTGATTTGACCGCGCCGTCTTTGCTGGTCAAGTGTGTGTTCGGTGGAGGAGCTCCGAATCAGGTGCTTGTTATCCTCCGGCTTCGGAGTCGAACTTCACGTCACCAGGTTCGAAGGTGGAGCGGCGTTCGGGGCGGTGGCATTGCCCTGCGCGTTGCAGTGGGTTCACACTCTCGAATCCAGCGGCCGACCTGATTAGTACTGCGGGTTTATGGACCCTAAGAGGCCGTCCATAAATGACGTCACGCGATTTTGGACGATTTCTGACCCGCTCCCCCCTTTGTCAAAAAAGTCAGACCCCCCCTCAAATATGACGTCACAAAGCTCTGCCCCCCCCACAAAAAAAAGAAAACATGCTTCAAATCGCTTTAAACTGTTGCCATTGTAGCGCGTATTTAATTTGGCGCTATTTAATTAAGTAAAACGTGTTGTCTATATTTATTCAAAGTTGTGCATTTTGATGTGACGTCACATTTCTCAACCCCCCCCCCCCTCGTCACACATCGTCACAAATGTCTGACCCCCCCACCCCCCTTAGGTGTGTGACGTCATTTATGGACGGCCCCTAACGAACACGCGCTGTCTACATCCCAGTAGATGTTTCATATATATATAAATAATAATAAAGATATCTCGTGACGCCCATTCTCAAGAGTAGGCCATTGTATGCTAGCATCAAATTGTAATAATTTCCTGCGTGAGACGACGTGAGTTGGTAACGAGCAGAGTTAAATAATAACCACTGCGCCACCAATCAATGCATCCCACGTACATACACATTGAAATTAACGAATGGAAAGACAAGGGTCGATTGCCCCACCAGACAATAAAATACTGTCTTCTTGGTTCTTTCCGACAGACCTGTTCTTCACCTGAGGACGGCTCCTTGCGTTGTGGGCGAAACGTCGTGAGAATAATTTTATTATGTTGAATTTTTATTATTTTATTATTTCCCTTCTACGTGACTTTACCGAAAGAACCAAGAAGATGAATCCCTGCAGTCACGAAACATTTAAATCGAAATTTTATTAAATACTGTATTAATATGCGTAATATTACAGGTCCATAAGCCTCTGTGTATTCCGGTGCAATGTGCCCATTTATCTGAGTCTCATCCGCAGGTTAATACGACTAATAATTTTTCATTCACCGCTGGATGAAGGCCATGTTGATCCGCGAGTGCTGTTGAACAATACTTCGGAAACTGGAACGGGTTCATAGATCACCGGTGGTAGCCGCGGCTGGGAATCGAACTCGGGTTGGTGGGGGAGGGGTTCGGATTATTGGTGCGGGGCGCTAACCACCGAGCCACCGCTCCTCCACTAATTTATAATCAGCGTGGCGTCTTCAACACCGCTCTACTGCTTCGTGTTGTTTTCCCGTTGAGTGCCGCGTTTGATGGACACTCGCATTAATGTAGTTTTAGCGGCCATATAGATCGCTGCCTGCAATCTCTTACCTTCAACCCATCAAGACAGCGCCTAATATTTGTAATATATCGATTATTGTACCTTTCGAGTAGTCGTGCCATGCATACATGGACATACAAAGACAAAGATCCCCCCCCCCTATTATAGCCTTCAACAGCCTATTTGGGGCAAGTGCAATTAGCGAGGCACCTCTAAAGGTCAGCACAACACACAGGCGAGTTGGTGGCAGGTGCCACGCCGGGGCCGCCTTTGTCTCCCCTGATGCCGATGATGTTTACGCACCGCACCAGGGATGTGTTGACCGCGGGTGACCCCCGGGACCGGACCAAGATATTTCGTCACCGAGCTTTGGTCGCCGGATTCATCGCGCAGTGCGCTAACCACTTGCGCCACCGCTCCCCAGATTATGTAATTACAAGATTCGCGTCTCCGCGCGTCTCTACCCCGTGTGGGTACACCACAAACCGCGGAGATGGAGCCATGGAACGAGCTCAGGTGTATGGCCGAGATGGATTGTGGTATACATGGGACGGCTGTGGGGCCGTCCATAAATGACGTTCACGCACCTGCGGGGGGGGGGGGGTCAGACATTTGTGACGATGTGTGACGAGGGGGGGGGGGGGGGTTGAGAAATGTGACGTCACATCAAAATGCGCAACTTTAAATAAATATAGACAACACGTTCTACTTAATTAAATAGACTTTTCTCCTGCAACATCAGAGTGCAGCGCCACATTAAATACGCACTACAATGACAATAGTTTAAAGCGATTTTAAGCATGTTTTTTTTGGGGGGGGGGGCAGAGCTTTGTGACGTCATATTTGAGGGAGGGGGGGGTCTGACTTTTTGTGACGCCGTGTGACGAGGGGGGGGGGGGGGGTAAAAAATCGTCCAAAATCGCGTGACGTCATTTATGGACGGCCCCTATGTGAAAGCAGTAACGTGGCACGGCTTTAACCCAACAGTGGATGGACCGTGGCTGACGATGATCTCGAGATTGTAGCGCTGAGACCTCTTCTTCTTAGGGACGGCACAACGCTGACTTCTAGCTTATCCAGAGAGGTCTTTAGCGGCAGCACAGATAAGGCACTAATTAAGACACGTTAGGCAAAACTATAATTAAACCGGGACACGGAATCGAAATCAAACAAAAACAACCGAAAGAGAGAAGTAACGAACAAAGCAACCGCGGCCGCGAGTGGATTAATTCCATCCACACAGTTTAAGCTCCCGCGAGAGGTAATGAGGCAATTAACACCCAGCGATTGAAGTGCACTGACGTGGCATTACCATAAAGTGACGCCGAACACCGATAAGGTCTCGCGGAAGCCCTGGACGTCGGCGTTTGTAGATAGGAGACGCTAAGCCGCTTGTGCGTGAACTCCTGGGACCATTTATTCGAGGACAGCCACACATCTTCTGGGTTCTTTCGGTAAAGTCACGTAGAAGGAAAATAATAAAATAATAAAAAATAAAACGCAAGCAGCCGTCTTCAGGTGGAGAACAGGTCTGTCAAGTAGACAGTCTGTCGTGAGAATTATTTTATAATGTTTTATTTTTATTATTTTATTATTTCCCTTCTACGTGACTTTACCGAAAGAACCAAGAAGATGAATCCCTGCAGTCACGAAAGCTTTAAATCGAAAAGACAGCCACACACATGCGCAGGGCGGTACGCAGACACACACACACCACTTATCGGCAGTGGGTGGCACAGGGGCGCTGCGCTATAAACGCGGTGGTTGCTGAGTTAGATTCCCACGGCTGATATCGGTGGTATCTCGACCGATCCTATTACCCTGCCTTCGCTAACCCCACCCGCACCGAGCAAAGTGGTGAAGTATGGTAATGAGTCTACATAAACTTCCCAAAGAGACGGAAGGGGGCAGTCCAGATATTCAAGTAGTTTAAACAAAGCCCTATATTGACACGACTAAATGAAACCAATGCATTTGTATTCTTGGTTCTTTCGGTAAAGTCATGTCGAAGGGAAATAATAAAATAATAATAACACATTTTTATTATGTTTCTTTTTAAATAAAACATAATTATAATGTTTTATTAAACATAATTATTGTGTTTTTTTTTCTTATTTTCTTATTTCCCTTCTACGTGACTTTACCGAAATAACCAATAATATGAATCCCTGCAGTCACGAAAGCTTTAAATCGAAAAATCCAATGCATTTTGTCTGGTTAATAGGAATAAAGTACCACATTTCGGGGTCTCAACAGGGGGGAAATCGGCCCCATCGTCCTCACCCCCTCCCCCTCCACGGAATCCGCCACAAGGTTCGGCATCGGATTCAAATGTTGACCGACGATCGTTTCCAACGGTTCAGAGTCAAAACAAAACGCGAACCATTCATCCATTTTTTTTCTTCTTGGTTCTTTCGGTAAAGTCACGTAGAAGGGAAGTAATAAAATAATCAAAATAAAACATAATAAAATACAATTCTCACGACGTTTCGGCCACAACGTAGTCAGCCGTCCTCAGGTGCAGAACAGATCTGTCGGGAAGACATTCATTCAGACGCTGTCTTCCCGACAGACCTGTTCTTCACCTGAGGACGGCTGCTTGCGTTGTGGCCGAATCGTCGTGAGAATGATTTTATTATGTTTTATTTATATTATTTTATTATTTCCCTTCTACGTGACTTTACCGAAAGAACCAAGAAGATGAATCCCTGCAGTCACGAAAGCTTTAAATCGCCATTCATCCATTCTTTTCCTAATCGATTTAAGTGACCCGATCGTGGTGTAAGCGATTCCCCGTTTGGCTAAAGCTGCCTTTTCTCCGGGCACCACTTCTTTAATTCGGCAAGCAAACGCATCACAGCCGACTTATGGGAGGCCCAGAACCGGTTCAAATAATCGTCACCGTTGTTAGCCACGAGGCGAGATTTGAACTCGCGTCGTCGTGTTCGTAGCTCAGGGCGCTAACCGCGACACCACCGCTCCTCGCTTCATCAACGCCACCATTCCTTTTCTGTCGTATGGCGTTGTGAAAAGAAGCAGTTTTTTTCCTCTTCTTTCTTCTTAATGATCGTCGTAAATTAATGCAAAGGTTTCTCATCCAGTCCAACGATGTGGTTGACGCTGTGTGGATTTCAGCGATACCGCCACGATGTGCATGGACGGAGCATTCATCGGTGATGTTCTTGGATGGTTTGGACTTCTCCACAGTCGCAGTTGGAAGATTCTTTGATGTTCCATTTATAGAACGTGCACGCGCATCTGCCGTGCTGGCCCGGTTCGGCGTGGTCCATAGTGGTCGTGGAAGAGAGAATCCCGGTACTGCCACCGTCGGATCGTGAATGATGTTTTCGTTTGTCACGTCCATAGCCGCTCACGATTCAAACCAGCATCGTCATCATCAGCAGCACCATGATCATCACCATGTACCACAACGATCATCATCACTCCCTCTACCACCAACCACCACAACACCCAACGTCATTAACTGATTGCCACCACCACGACCGTAACCAACACCGTCACCGCAACCACAGCATCAGCAGCAGCAACAGCAACAGCACATTCATCATGACCACACCCATCATCAGCAGCACGTTCATCATCATCATCATCAGCAGTAGCAACAGCAACAGCACATTCATCATCATCATCAGCACATTCATCATGACCACACCCATCATCAGCAGCACGTTCATCATCATCAGTAGCAGCACATTCATCATCATCGGCAGCAGCAACAGCACGTTCATCATCATCATCAGCAGCAGCACATGCATCATCATCAGCAGCAGCAAAAGCACGTTCGTCATCATTCATCATCAGAAACAACAGCAACGGCACATTCATCATCATCATCATCAGCAGAAAAAACACGTTCGTCATCATCAGCAGCAGCAGCAACATCACATTCATCATCATCATCATCATCAGCAGCAGCAGCAAAAGCACG